CTAAAGTGCTGACTGATAAGGCCTAGGAGGATGGCCTCTACCATATGAATCTCTGCCTCCAGACGAGGCACCACTAAATCGGCCTGACTGACGGGGTCTCTTGTCTGCCCTATGACCACCCCCTGTGACAATACCATCTCAATCCTCCAAGCCACATTGGCCGCCTCCTGAAAGGATATCTCGCTCCCAGCCTCTCTAGCCATCTGGAGACGAATAAGCTGAATGAGTCCATCAATAAATCGTCTCACTCTCTCCCTCTCAGTGGGAAGTATAACAAGGGCATGGTGGGCTAACTCAATAAACCTGGTCTCGTACTGGGTGACTATCATGGATCCATGATGGAGACGCTCGAACTGCCTCCGATAGGCCTCTCGCTGAGTAATAGGGAGAAACTTCTACAGAAATAAATGCGTGAACTGCTCCCAAGTCAAGGTTGGAGACCCTGCTGGTCTAGCTAAACAATAATCCCTCCACCAAGTCTTGGCGGATCCAAACAACCGGAATGTAGCGAAATCAACCCCATTGGACTCAACAATACCCATGTTCCGTAGAACCTCGTGGCAGCTGTCCAAATAATCCTGAGGACCCTCGGTAGATGCACCGCTGAAGGTAGTAGTGAAGAGCTTGGTGAACCTATCCAACCTCCATAAAGCATCGGCAGACATAGCTGCCCCATCACCGGCTTGGGCTACCACACCCGGCTGAGTCGCTCCAACTGGCTGAACTACTGGAGTCTGAGTCTGGGGAGCTACCTGCTCCGGAGTACGAGTAGCAGGAGTCTGGACCCCTCCTCCAGCCTGAGAAGTGGCTGGTGCTACATGAAGCAAGCCTGCTCGGGTAACACTCTCTGTGAGACCCACCAATCGGACCAGAGCGTCCTGAAGAACTGGGGTTGCAATAAACCCCTCCGGGATCTGAGCTGGGCCCACCGGAACTGCTGGGGCTGGGGCCGGAACCTCCTCGTCAAAGTCAACCTGAGGCTCCGCCACTGGTGTTGGTGCTTGGGGCTGAGCTATTCCCCTACCTCGGCCTCTAGCACGACCTCAACCTCTGCCCCTAGCGGGAGCTGCCTGGGGCTCGGACTTCTGATAAGAAGATGAGGAAGCGCGTGTTCTCGCCATCTGCGAAAGAACAGAGTAGAAATTCAGTTAGCGTTGAGAAACCAAACCGCACGATAAGGAAGAACAAATGTGAAATTTTTCCTAACTCAGTAGCCTCTGGGGGATAAATACAGACGTCTCTGTACCGATCCCTCAGACTCTACTAAGCTTGTTCGTGAGTTGTGAGACCTATGTAACCTAGAGCTCTGATACCAACTTGTCACGACCCGGATTTTCCACCCTCGGGAGTCGTGATGGCGCCCACTAATGAGAGCTAGGCAAGCCAACCCTTAATTACCTTTGCCATTAACCAATTTACCTCTTCTAACAATTATCAGTGATATCATGAAAACAGCGGAATAAAATAAATAAGCGGAAGTCTTAAATCAAGGAATCTGAACAGCAATGCGGAAAATCAACATAAACCTCTACCCAAGAACTGGTGTCACATACTCACGAACTACTAAGAGTGCTAAATACAACCGTTTGAAAGAAAATATAACTGTTTGTCTCGAAATACATGAGATAACAGACTGAAATAAAAGAGAGAAGAGACGTCGGGCCTGCGAACGCCTGCAAGGCTACCTCAGTGTCTCGCTGGACTGAAGGCTAACTCCCGCGCTATTGCAGCTGCTGTCCAGCACTTGGATCTGTGCAAAAGAGCACAGAGTGTAGTATCAGCACAACCGACCCCATGTGCTGGTAAGTGCCTAGCCTAACCCCGGCGAAGTAGTGACGAGGCTAGATCGGACTATCACATAAACTTGTGCAGTTATATATACATATATAGCGGAATCGAAATACAGAGACAAGAAATCAATATGGGAAGGGGGGGAGCATTCTAAGGGGAAATAACAATTTCAAGTAAAAGTTGTCCAGCAACGAAGGAATTAACACAACTCTGACATTAATAAAGAGACAGAAAGCAACAAGTGCACGGCATCACCCTTCGTGCTTTTACTCTCATCCTCACCAAGCAATGATATAATAAAATGTGCACAGCATCACCCTTCGTGTTTTTACTCTCTTTCCTCACATATAATCAATAGAATCGGCACGGAATGGTACATCGTGCGGCACGGCATCACCCTTCGTGCTTTACTCTCCTTTCTCACCATAAGCAAACAATGCACGGCATCACCCTTCGTGCTTTACACTCTTTCCTCACAATAAACAAACAATGCACGGCATCACCCTTCGTTCTTTAACACCCTTCCTCACGCTAACAACAATCACGAACAAGGGGGCAAGGGAATGAACAAAATAATAAAAGAAATCCCGGCAAGGGAACACAATTAAACAATTAAATCCCGGCAAGGATACAACATCAATAATCTCAACGTCCCGTCAAGGGAAAATAATCAATAAACAACAATATCCCGGCAAGGGAACAATTTAAATACTCTTTCTCTTCCTTTCACTTTTATTTCATATCTCACTTTACCACTTGAGCCAATGCTCCAAAGGGTTCAACCATTTCATAGATGTTCACAATTGAAATATAACTTGAGCCAATGCTCCTCGTTGTTCATAGGTCACAATCTCCTTTCACAAGCTTTTCACAACACATAGGAATCATCACCAAGGCAAGAGAAATACGACGAAATCAAGATATTTACAATTTAAGGACTCACGGTCATGCTAGACACCAACGTATAGATACTCGTCACCATGCCTATACGTCGTACACAACAAGAAGCAATTAGCAAATAAGACTCAACTCCTAGTCCCTCAAGCTAGGGTTAAACCAAACACTTACCTCAATGCCTTGAATACAACTCAAGCCTCAATTATAGCTTTACCCCTTGATTCCACCTCCAATTCGCTCATATCTAATCACAAATTACTTAATTACATTAATACATGCTAAATGAATCAAGCCCAATGCATAAAAATGAGTTTCCCAAGTTTTACCCAAAAAGGTGAAAAATGCCCCCGGGCCTACGTGGTCAAAACCCGAGGTTCGAACCAAAACCCGATTACCCATCCCCCCATGAACCCAAATATGTAATTTGTTTTGAAATCGGACCTCAAATTGAGGTCCAAATCCCCAATTTTTTTGAAAAAAACCTAGGTTCTACCCAAAACACCCAATTTCCCCATGAAAATCTTTGATTTGAAGTTGAAATCATGTTAGAAGATGTTGAGGAGTGAAGAAAATGAGTTAGAAATCACTTACCAATCGTTTTGGAGAAGAAAGTTTGTTTGGAAAATAGCCTCTTATGTTTTGGGGTTTTGAAAAGTGTAAAATAACTGAAATTCCCGTTTATTTATACCCTTCTGAAGCTCCCTGTGCGGACCGCGCAAAAAGGACCGCGGCCGCACACGCCTCCCTGAAGACCTGCAGATCATAGCCCCGTGCGGACCGCACAAGGCCGACCGCGGCCGCGCAGCATCCACCGCGGACAGCTCAAAGGCGACCGCGGCCGCGCTTGCCCCTCTGCGGCCGCACGCGATTTCTCGCGGACCGCGCAAGAGGGTTCAGAGGCCTGCAATATTTCCTGAACCTGCAACATCTGATCTTTTAAGTCTAACTTATCCCGGAACCTACTCGAATCTCACCCGAGCCCTCGAAACTCCAACCCAAGTATGCACACTACCTCAAAAATATCCTACGAACATATTTGTGTGATCAAATCACCAATATAACATCATAAACATCGAATTAAGCCTCGAGATCAATGAGATTTCTCAAAATTCCTATTAAACATCAATTTCCCATTTAGGGTCCAGATCCCGTCAAACGACGTCCGTTTTTAACCAAACTTTACAGAAACATCTTAAGTGACATATAAGACCTGTACCGGGCGCCGAAACCAAAATACGGGCCCGATACCAACACGTTCTAATCAATTTTCCTTAATAATTTCAAAAAAAAAACAATTTTACTCAAAAATTCATTTCTCGGGCTTGGGACCTCGGAATTCGATTCCGGGCATACGCCCGCGTCCCATATTTTCCTACGGACCCTCCGGGACCGTCAAATCACGGGTCCGGGTCCGTTTACCCAAAATGTTGACCGAAGTCAAATTTATTTATTTTAATACCAAAATTTAGCATATTTCACAGAATTTTGCATTTAAGCTTTCTGGCTACGCGCCCTGACTGTGCACGCAAAACTAGGCGACTATAAATGAGGTTTTCAAGGCCTCGGAAGCACAGAATGGGTAAAAAAATAGGTGATGACCCTTTGGGTCGTCACAGGGACCTAATGGAGCATTCACTACGAAGGCGACGTACAAAATTGTTAAAAACCAATCGAAAGAAAAAGGAAACTGGATAGATTTTTCTTGGCTGTGGAAGCTAGATACCCTAAATAAAATTAAGACCTTCTTATGGATAGTTGTCCACAATAGGTTACCTACCTCCAAAATGCTTTACAATAGAAAAATCACTAACTCCAGTACTTGTAATATCTGCCAAAATGAAGAAGAAGACATGGAACACATGTTCTTCAACTGCCTACACGCAAAACCTATTTGGGATCAACTGGGAAGTTCTTATAAATACCCGGATCAGCCACGCAACGAGCTCACTATGCATAACTGGTTAAAACCTCTTTGTCTCACAAAATCCTCTTACAACAGATACTTAACTAAGGCGGATATCCTGCCCTTTACTCTTTGGCATATTTGGATTCATACGAACAATTTTATTTTTAACAACAATAAATCCCCCCTCTCCTTGAAAAACATCGTTAAAAGTGCAACAGAGTTTAAATTATTAATAGAATCTATCCAGAGTCCTAACCCCACGACTACCATCTACATAAAATGGAAGCCTCTTGATCGGGGAACTTTTAAACTAAACATAGATGGCTCTAGCTTAGGTAACCCCGGGAGGGGTGGCATTGGAGGGGTTATCAGAGACTGTGATAGTAACTGGATTATAGGCTTTAACATGTCCACTCCTCACGCTACCAACATATACACGGAAGGCCTCGCCCTTATTCAGGGTCGAAAAATAGCTATACAACAAAATATTAGGCGATTAGTGGTTGAAACAGACTGCAGTGCTCTAGTTAACATGCTTACTAACGATAATGGTGCGTATCAAAACTTGATTACTGATTGCAGATGGATGCTTACTAGAGCAGGAGAGCCACAGGTCACTCACATTGTCAGAGAAGCAAATGGAGTGGCTGATGTTATGGCAAAAAATGGAAGCAACTCGAACTTTTTTGGAAATCCTATATTGTACTTCTCCCCGCCCCCCTTTGTTGTTTCTATTTTTGAACTGGACAAGCTAGGAACTTTGTGTCCTAGAAAAGTCCCAATTTATAATAACATTTAAATAGGGCGGAATAAATTTCTTCATTACCAAAAAAAAAAAAGCTGTATTTATACATCTTGTAATTGAAGGAATCCATACTGCACTGCTTAGCTAACAACTCGAGGAGGGGAGACGGTACGTTAAATTACGAAAGGAACTAGGATAAACCAATGATATTGTAGGAAACTCGGCTATAACTTCATATTTTAGTACATTATTTACCTTGCATTTTGGGGATTTAATGCTAAACTATACTATATCTGTGCTTAATTAAATTTATTTTATGTGTATGTATGTTAAAGATGAAACTGGAAGCAAAATAGAGATTTTATGTGTATTTTATGCATTACAAGAATGAAGTTGTGATTATTTAGTTAGGGGACAAAAGAAATCAAAAGAAGACAAAACAAACAAATTGAAAAGAAAGGAACAGAATGAGAAAACGTGAAAGAACATTAGTTTACAACAAGCAAAGCAAATGAGAAACGAAGCAGCAGAGTCAGGCGTCGCGAGCCAAAAAGCTCGCGTTAGCGCAAGGTTTCGTGTGTTCCCGGTTTCCAGCCTATTTTCTCTTCTATATGGTTTTGGACTTGTTATTTCGTCTAGGTCTTTTCCCTACATATATAAATAGTCATTAAATACCGTTTTGAGAGACCGAGATTGGACAGATTTGAGAGGAGATTCGACCTAAGGAGGCAAGAACACACTAAGAGCAAGGCGGAAATTCTTCTATGAGTTTTTCACTTCCTTCTTCCTATTTTTATTATTGGTTATGAATTCTAGTATTGTAGTTTTGCATACTATTATGAATAACTAATTTGTTATCTAGAGTTTTGATAGAACCTTTTGTAGGATAAATTGTTGTTATGTTTTTATATAATTGAGCCGTTGAATTTCTCTATTTGTTCAACTACGTTTATATTGTGGTTGGTTGAAGCGCTCTCAATCGACTGTGCCTATTTAGTGTGTATTGCTCGGAAGAGAGTGCATATTTAGGTAGTTGTTGAACAACATCACTCTTAACGTATATGAGGGATCAATACGGAGGGTTAAAAGTGGGATTAAGAATAACGAAACCTTGGTGCGATCCGAGTGAGCCGTAACTTATTGTCAGCTAGCGTAATTCGGAAGAATATGTCTAGTAATTTGTGGTAGTTACTCGGGAGAGAATTACGACACTCAGAGAGCTCATAATCGGTAGAGAAAACTTAGGTAAATTTATAAAGGCTGCATGATAATTCGATTTCCAAAAAGAGTAAAGGTTCACAATACAAAAATTGAAGTGTCAAACCGTGTATGAGATCTATATTAAGACATCGATTTCTCTATTAAAAAAAAAAATTATGTAGGGAATTGTGCAAAGTTGATATAGTAGTCTAAATTATAGTGAGACCGTCTAGAACCAACGTAAAAATTTAAATACAGCATACTCGTTGAGAATTTAAAGGAAAATATCTCCATTTGTTACTCTACTAATGAAATTGCTCTATTATATATGTTGTTCACACTTTTTGTCCATTCATATCTTTATCTCAATTTTTTACTCTACGAATAAAATTGAATCTTATCGTTAATATAACTCGGTTTTGAATTAATGGATTTTACGTATTCAAATTCATCGAGAAAGGAGGTCCACATTTATTCTTGGATTCTAAGTTTTAACTTAAATTGGAGCTCCATTGCGATCAACCGCAAAAATCAGACTATTTTCTAATGTATAATAGTAATATAAGAATCTAACTTTAACGAAAGAAGTTACTTAATTTTAAATAATACTATAACATATTTAATGATTATTCTTTTTTTTTTTTTAATCTATTCAAACATTGATGGTACAATGATGTTTATCCGATAGATGAGCTAGGCGTAGCAAACTAAATTTAGCGACAAAAAAAATTGATTTCGTTAGAGTAAAAAATTGATTTGGGTTCAAGCTCGCTGTGGGATTTGGTTTAGGCAGAAGTCCTTCCTCTTTATAGACGTATAAAATATTCCATAATGAAATACATTTATACGTGTCATTTTTATGAATTTATAAGAAGCTAATCTAAGGCTTCAAATCAATATAAATGTCAAAAAGCTCACACGTAATTAAGTTTGTAGCTATTCAATCACACTATATTAATTTCTAGGGTGTTGGGACCAGAAATGTATTTTGATAGCATCACATAAGAGATTTCTAGGTTGGCAAATAAATCCTCGAGAAAAAAGAAGCACCCCTTTAAAGAAGTCGCACCCTGCCAGCGATTCTATCACTGATCCGTTGAAAATCATACATGGAGTGCGTGATACAGGGTTAAATGAATACTAACTTGCTTCACCAGCAAGAATTATATTTCATGGAATTATAAAATACCTTTTCAAGTTTTCACTCGTGATAAAGCTCCACAATACATTGATCTATACGATTTACATATCACGAGTGAAACCTTGATGGTATTGGCAACTAATGTAACCCTAGTCCAGTACTCTGTCGATGCTCGGAATGTTGCCGTATATAGTTTAACTATATAATAAGTAAAAGTCCCTCGGACGACCAAGGGTATTTTTGGTATTTGGACAATTATGTAATTAGGTAATTCACTCTTTAATAAACCATTATACCTCCAGGTGTTCAACTCCGATCACCACGTGGGTTTAGGCTCCCCGCCTCTCCCCATCCTTTTGCCTTCTTCTCTACCAAGATTTTCAATTTCCCATGTCTCTTTCCTTCGATTCCTCTGTCTTTGTTCCTGGTGAAATTTTTTCTTTTATTCTTCTCTTCCTTAAATTGTTGCTCAATGTTTGGTTTTGGTCATCTGCTTTATTTTTCTTTTTATATTTTGATGTTTAGGTCTTCTTAAGATGGTTTACAAGATTTGGTAAGTCTTGTGTTCCTACTGTATTCTTGAACTTATTATTGGATGGTGTCTATTTAGGTCTTTAGAGTGATGTATGAACTAAAATTTTGAAAATAGAGATTGAAATATGGAAAATTTGTTTTTTTTTTGTGACTTTTTAGTTTCTCGCTACTGAGAAGCAGAGAAATCTAACACCTTTGCATTTTCCTCTTTTTCTTCATCAATGCATGTGCTTCAATCCTGTTTGGAATAAATGTTGGTACATCTTGAGTTTTCAATATGCATGATGGTAATTTTAGCTGATTTTACTCGTGCATATTTTTTTTTCTTACAATCAATTTTACTTACATCACTACAGTATTCTTCAATTGGATTTCTCTTTTTCTTCAAACTTTTATAATTATATTATTTTGTATGAGATTTCATTTAAGCAGAATAGTATCTATATCTACGCGTGCTTTAGATGGAGTTTCTTTCTCCCAGATTCTTATATTCTTGTTTTCTTATTTTCTTTCTCCACAAAAAAAAAAAGTAAAGGATTAGCGCTAATAAATAGTAATACTTGTGTTTCAATCTGATTTTTGAGCTTAGTCCTTCTGGACATTGTTTGATGGTAACCCATTTTCATATCTTGTGGACTTAGCTTATAGAAAGGGATTAATGGGAAAATGGAATTACTTATATATTTATTCATTCCGTTTTTCTGCTAAACCTGTAACTATTTGCTGAAAATACTGAGAGTGCTTAGCTCTTTCTGTATAACTCGCTTCAAAAGTTGCACGCTGTTGTTGTTGATTTTCTATTGCTACTTACTACTGCTATAGATTCTCTTTTCTTACTGTTACATGACTATGATCCTTCTCCATTATTCAGTCGTCGTTGGTTGGTATACTAGGGCGAGGCGAATCCCAACCCCTTCGTTAGCTGGTTTAGCTTTCAAAGTCATCCCTCTTTTCAATCTATATCAGATCCCCCAATTACTTCATCGCTAATACCTTTTATCTTTCTTTTAGCTGCTACTTTTTCCCCGTCCACGCCCAATCAGAGTAGTCAATGTGCCTGCTTCGTCAACATGGTGTTACTGAATATTGTGATTCATTTAGTTGGAGTATAATGGTTGTAATTTTAATTTCACAGGTTTCTAAAAGTGGAACTTGATCAATCTGGGGGAAAAGGGACAATTGCTTCAACTTTAACAAGAAATTTCTGCAATTGCTTGGTCTACTGTTATATGCTTAGTTATAATGCTAAATGGTTATGATTTATATTTCGTATCATATTGTATAGATGTGTATACTTTATGAATAAATCAAATGTTAAGATTACAAAATTTAGATCTTAATGCTGAAACTTTATGAAGCGCTTGAAGAATAGATGCCTAAAAATAAAAATAAAAATAAAGAGACGAAACCAAAATTGAGCAAATGGGGAGAGCATCTCTATCCTGGTTCCATTAAGTGAGAAAAACCTTAGGCGATGTATCCATACAGATAAGTGGCACTTAAAAAAAGAGGCAACACTTCTAAAAATACGTCGAGCAGAATATGCCACGAGAAAATATTATCGCTCTGAAAATTCTACTGCTAACCATTGGATCAGACATGTTCAGGCACTTTTCGTCGAAGTGCCTGAGCCTTTTTCTTATCTTCAGGTAGAATTCCGTACTGCAACAAAATTGACGATCTCGTTTCTCCAATCCTAGGTTAAATTATTGAAATTTACCTCGTTTTTATCTTTGGTCGAGTGCTAAATGAAATAAATGTATTACGGAAGCATTTTCTTCATTTGTTACTTCTACAGCGGATGCAAGATTAGCCAATTCGTCTGCTTCGATATTTTCTTCCCTGGGTATCTGCACGATTTTCCAAGATTGGAATTGCCTGATCAAATCTCGTGCCTTTTCCAAATATTGTTGCATCCTCGCCTCTCTAGCTATATAAGTCCCCTGCATTTGATTAACCATGAGTTGCGAGTCGCTTTTGATTATGACCTGCTCTATTCCGAGCTCTCGTGCCAATTCTAAACCTGCAATCACAACTTCATATTCTGCTTCATTATTAGTAATTGGATGGCACTTTATGGCTTGCCTTATAGTTTCTCTCGTAGGTGGGATTAGAATAATGCCTAAACCCGCTCCTTTATCATTCGAGGAGCCATCGGTAAACAGGATCCAAGTACCTG